GCAACTTGACATACAGACCATCCCCCAGCACAGCCAAGTGCAGACCATCTCAAACACCTGCACTCAGGCCCATGGTCCTAATCATCCTCTATACGGACCTGCTGGGTAACGCCACAAAGAACCCAAGAAGGGCTCCCACAGGACATACAGAACATCCCACAGCAGACTATGAAACCATAATCAAAAGAAACCATAACTACAAATCTCAAGTTTGTTAATATCAACAAATTCCTAAAACTCCTCATCAGAATCTTTGTAGAAACAATAAAGAACACCTATAATTCTGTTCCAGGACCAGTAGAGAAACCTGTCTCCTTCCTGTCATTACCTATCTTGGTTATGATGGTGAAGAATTACTTGGATCCATATATGGCACTATAAACTACTTAATAAATTGTTAAGAAGGGTGTCTGCTGTTGGTATTTGACATTCTCAGTACACCCATGACATCCTCCTGTGGATTGCTGGAAGTGTCCCTTTTGTGTGCTAATAATTCCTGTTCCCAGGACTAACACTTTGGTTTTCTCTGGATGACGTTGATGATCAGTCCCTGAGTTAGAAGGGCTGGAAGAGAAACAGAAGAAGGAAGTGATGTGACAGTGTAGACTGCGGTAATAGGATTGTAGAGTTATTTCTAAGACTTCTGTACACTGGCATCTAAGGTCCAGCTGCCACCAGTCAGGCAGGTCCTTGGGGAGATCAACCATCCTCATGGCCACACAGGACGCCCCTTACTCCATGTGTCGCTGGTTCTTTCTCCTTCTGTAAAAGCATCACTCCTGTCATTGTGTCATCCTCATGACCTCTGCTACTTATCATAAATGTCCAAAAACTCTTCTTCCAATATTTTCCTATGTATTTGATTATTAATAAATTGATTCTACATAATAATAGTGTAATGTGAGTTATTGAGCCAAATCACTCATTTCCAAAGGAAAAAAAATCTCAAAGTATTTTTTAAAGATTTATTTATTTTCACATGCATTGATGTTTTGCCTGCATGTATGTCTATGTGAAGGTGTCCGATACCCTGGAACTGGAAGTACAGACAGTTGTGAGCTGCCAGGTGGATGCTGGGTATTGAACCTGGGTCTTCTGGACGAGAAGCAAGTAAGTACTCTTAACCCCTGAGCCATCTTTCCAGGCCATCTCAAAGTATGTTTAAGGGTAACTGAAATAAAAATTGAGTATTCCTTACCCAAAATGGCTGGATCAGCAAAGCCTAAGTTTACCATCACCATGTCCAAACACCTGGCAAAATCAACCTATAATGAGACAAGGTTTATGTTGGCTTGTAGTATCAGAGTCTCTATGACACAATTGGACAGGTCTATTGACTTAGGTCTCTCATGTTGGTACTGGATTGTAATGGTGGTCAACTTGTAGCCAAGCAAACTGTTCATCCCACAGGAAGCAAAACCAAAAGAAGGGGCAGGGTCACACAAACCTCTTCAAGGTCATACACACAACATCTAAGCGCTTTCACTTAACCCCACACACTAAAGTTGCTACCACTAACCAGTATAGATGTAACCAACCGTCTTATTAAATAAGAAACACAGAAACAATGTAAAAGAGAAAGCCGAGAAGTCAGAGCTCAGAGCTAAAATCTCACCCTTCTTCCTGCTGTCCCAGCTTCGCGAAAAGAGACCTACTTCCTGTTGGTTCGTTTTTTTTATAGTATGTTGTTCTGCCTTCTCATTGGTTGTAAACCCAAACACATGACTGCCTCGTCACTGTCTGAATGTACAGCCCCCTAGGTCTTAAAGGCATATGTCTCCAATGCTGACTGTATCCCTGAACACAGAGATCTTATGGGATTAAAGGCGTGTGCCACCACCGCCACACTCTTGCTATGGCTCTAATAGCTCTGACCCTGAACACACAGATATCTATGGGATTAAAGGCGTGCGCCACCACCGCCACACTCTTGCTATGGCTCTAATAGCTCTGACCCCCGGAAAACTTTATTTATTAACATACAATCAAAATAATAATTCAGTACAATTAGATTACCACCACAAACCAGGGCTGGAGACATGGCTCAGCAGTTAAGAGCACTAACTACTGCTCCTGAAGACCCAGGTTCAAATCCCAGAACCCACCTGGGAGCTCACAACCATCTGTAACTCCAGTGCCAGTTTACTGGCCTCTGCAAGCACACCATGCACTTGGTACGCTTACAAACAGGCAGGCAATACACACAAACACGTTTTCATTTTTACTTTTTTATACAATAAAATAATCTTTAAAAAAGAAGTAGGAGAATATATTTAAGGAGAGAACAATATAGAAGAAAGAGGACACACGTTAATGGACAACAGGAAAGAAAAGCAAGGATTGGCTTGGCACGACATAGGGGCCTTAGTACTGCAATCACAATGGCAGGATCAAAAGTGAGTGTGCCGCTGAAAGTCCCCTCTCTAATCCTGCTAGCTGTCTGTTTTGACAATAGCTTCATTCTCTAAGTTACATTTGTGCCCAAATGTAACATTGTCATATTGATGACCATATAAAGGGCTTATCATACACCAAAAGTTCGATAAGAAAATCATCGTGGAGCAGTGAGCCGGCCCAGTGGATTAGTGTGCTTTCTGCCGAGCCTGAAGACTTGAATTCCATCTCCAGGATTCACATGGTAGAAGCTGAGAAGAAACTCCCACAAGGTGTCCTCTGGCCTCTACATACAAGCCATAGCAAGTGCAAACTCTTCTACATACACACAGAGACAGACATAAAAAAATAAATATAAAAACCTACGTAAACAAAATTATTTTTAACTTTTATTTTTTAAATTTTATTTTTTCTTAAATTTCATTCCTGAAAGAATACAATTCAGGTGGACCAAGAAAGAAAGGGGAAATAACATGAATTACATTAAACTGTGTCACATTTTAAGAATTTGTGGGTTCTCTGAAGATGTTAGTGATTAATAACACTGATTAAGATATGAGCAGTTGATGAGCTGGGGAAATGACTCAGTGGTATCAACTGTTTGCTGCACCAGCATGAAGACTTCAGCTCAGACCCACAGCACCCATGAAGGATGCTGGATGGGGTGGCATGTTCCTGTAATGCCATCACTGGGAGGGAGAAACGGTAGGAATTCAAGAAAGCAGTGACCAGCTAGTCTGGACAATTGATGAGCTCAAAACTCAGTGAGAAACCCTATCTCAAAAAACAAGTTGGGGGCGGGGGAGGTGATCAAGGAAGGCAGCCAACGTCAACCTCTGGCCTCTACTACACATGCAAGCAGGAGTATAAGCACCCTCACATGTACATGAACACACATGCATACAACACACACAAATACAAAGACAGAATTAGCTGTAGTGTAACTGTGTGTTCAGGACAGATGTTTTGCAGACACCAAGAGACCATGGATGCCAGCCCAGACTACTATACCCAACAAAACTTTCAATCACCATAGAAGGAGAAAACAAGATATTCCATGACAAAACCAGATTTAAACAGTATCTAACCCCAAATCCAGCACTACAGAAAGTACTAGAAGGAAAACTCCAACCCAAGGAAATTAGCTACACCAATGAAAACACTGGCAATAGATAGATAATCTCACACCAGCAAACCCCAAAGAAGTGAAACACACACACTACTAACAAGAACAGCAAAACCAAAAAATAACAGGAATTAACAATCACTGGTCATTAATATCTGTTAAGATCAAGGGACTCAATTCACCTATAAAAAGATACAGGCTAACAGAATGGATAAAAAAAAAAACCAGCATCTATCCTTCTGCTATATACAAGAAACACACCTCAACTTCAAAGACAGATATTACCTCACAGTAATGGGTTGGGAAAAGATTTTCCAATCAAATAGACCTCTAACAAAATAGACTTCAAAATAAAATTAATCAAAAAGAGATGGAGAAGGACATTTAATATTCATCATAGGAAAAAATCCATCAAGATGAAGTCTCAATTCTGAACATTTATGCCACAAATACATTAGCATCCACATTTTTAAACATTACATAACTAAACATAGAAACATTACTAAAGCTTAAATCACATATCAAACCACATACACTAATAGTGGGAGACTACAACACCCCACTCTTACCAATGGATAGGTCTGTCAGACAGAAACTTGACAGAGAAATAAGAGAACTAACAGATATTATGACTCAGATGGACTTAACAGACATCTACACAAAAGAATATACCTTCTTCTCTGCACCTCATGGAACCTTCTCTAAAACTGACCACATACTCAGTCACAAAGCAAATTTCAACAAATACCAAAAAAATTGGAATAACCCCCTGCATCTTATTGGATCACCCTGGCTTAAAGATAGAATTCAACAACACAAATGGGTGGCAGAGTGGGTCTTGTAGGTTACAGGACTCTCACCTGCTGGCTGGCTGCTGAAGCTGAAATGGCAGGGGGAGAGGCATGGAATGTGCCCTGGGGCCTAGGGCCCAGGGATTGGGCAACTCAGCAGGGAGGCCAATCACTCACCTCTTCTTCCAAATGGTGCAGGTGGGGCACCCACATTCCTAAAAGAAAATTACTAAAGCTTAAATCACAATAGACCCTCACACACATTGATAGTGGGAGACTTCAATA